AAGCTGAAATTGTGGGGAAAAAAGAGCCATGAAAAGCTCTGCTTTGCAGAAATTCCCTTTGGATTGAAGGCAAGGCCTCAGAGTGGAAGTGTTGGGTTATGGCTACAGCAACCAAACAAAGCAGCTGATTCCTGCTGGAAAATTGTATCACCTGAGGAGAATGGGAAATGCCAGGCTGGCCCATGGCTGTATTTCAGTGCAGCTGCATATTGGGGGTGATCCAGTTGAGGCCTTCCAGAACATGAAGGGAGCCAATAGGAAAGATGGAGAGGGAATTTTTACAAATGCATGGAGTGACAGGGCAAGGAAGAATGGCTTCAAACTGCCAGAGGGCAGGATTAGATGGGATTCTTTCCTGTGAGGGTGGTGAGGCCCTGGCACAGGGTGCCCAGAGGAGCTGTGGCTGCCCCTGGATCCCTGGAAGTGTCCAAGGCCAGGCTGGACAGGGCTTGGATCAACCTGGACTAGTGGACAGTGTCTCTGCCTATGGCAGGGGTTTGGAAAGAGATGAACTTGAAGATCCCTTCCAACCCAAACAATTTCATGATTCTGAGACTCTAGAAGATGAGAAATGAGTGCTGGAAGGCACAAGGAGCAGGCAAGGATGGAGCCCTTTAAAGGCCGGGGGCGTGGATGTTGCATCATTAATCAAGTCCCTAATGCTCTTAGTGCTAATCCATTAATGCCTCAGCATATAAAGCAGTTACTCCTCTCTTAGACCAATTTTGGGCCCAAGGGGATTAGGATAGAAGGTCTCTCATCTCCTATGTTTGTGTTGTGCAGCACACCCTTGCATCTTGCTGCACCTTGGAAGGTGAAAAAATGCAGTCCTAAAACTGCATTGCCCATTGCAGGTGCAACTGTGGCAAGGCCAGAGATTTATTCTCAGATGGCTCCCAAAGCAAGGTGAGACCCTGAAACAGAGCCCACCCCACTGCAAGCGTGGTCAGGGCAGGGATGTCACCCTGTCCATCTGCTGCTCGTGTCCCAGCACCCAGAGATGGAGCCCTGAGGAGATAGCAGACGATGCTCTCCAGGTGAGATGAGTGCAGCCAAGGCTGGCAAAGCTCCAGATCTCCTTCACCTGGAAGAGCTGTTGATGATGGAGGGTTTCTGCTCAGACCACTCTGGGGAGCCTGGGGTTGGTTTTAAAGAGGGGCCCAGGCAGGAGGTGATGTCTGGAAGATGCTTGAGCATCCCACAGTTGTCTCTTACATCTGTGATGGACCAAAGCAAGGTAATATCACTGTCCTGCCAGTCAAACCTCCACACAATCCATGTTTTGAGACCAGTGCTTTTGGCCTCTTACTCCTGACCCATCCCAACAATCCCACCCTGTGCCCCAGAGCATTGTCCAAACCCTCCTGGAGCTCTGGCAGCCTTGGGGCCCTGGCCATTCACTGGGGAGCCTCGTCAGTGCCCAACCATCCTTTTTTCATAGCTTAATGCATTCATGCAGCTGCATTTCAGGAAAAACACAGTTTTCAGGCTTGTTTGATTTTCAGGTGTTTCTATTTTTGTAAAAAATCCAGAGCAAATTAAGAGCTCTCTCAAGTGACCCTGCAAGGCTGAAGCAGGATCTGTGTTTGGTGAGGAAAGAGGAGAGATTTGGCAAAGAAATAACTTCAGTCTCAATGGCAAAGAGGAGTCTGCCTGCAGCTGCATTTCTCAGGTTTCTTGACTCTCCTTGTGCAGTCCTATAGAATAGAACCATGGGATGGTTTGGGTGGAAAGGGACCTTTAAGGTTCATCAAGTCCAACCTCCTGCAACAAACAGGCCCATTTTCAACTAGATCAGGACAGTCTTGGTAGCACCCAGACCTCCTAGACCTCCTAGAAGTTGGTCACACACTATTGGGATCATCTGAGCAAAGCAGTCCTTAAGTGCAATCTGCCTAAAATTGTACAATTCTGATGTGTCACCATGCACACAGTGAGAATTTAATTTTCTCTGGCAATTATTTTGGTAGAGAGCAGAAACTGATAACTGGCACAGAGAGGTCTAGGCTTGTTCCCTTTTCCTGGGCAGCACAGTCACCTCTTGATGAACACCTCTGGGAGGCTGAGGTCCTTTCACTACATGGAAAAAACTCCATAGGGAGAAGGTGAGGCCTTATTCAGAAGAGGAAAACACAGGAGGTTAAATATTGCCTGGAAATGAGGTGCTGGCTCATATTCCTATGGGAACAGGGGCTAAGTGATTTCCCCAAAATAATCCCAGTTGTACCACACTCAGTTTTTCCGAGTGAGATCCAACAGTCTTGGTAATTTCACTGTTAAGTGTAAAACCTTTCAATAATGGATTAGAAACAGGTGCTAATCATATCCAAACATAAGAAGGGGTTTATGGGAGTCAAAGGGATTAGGTTCTCCCTGTGTGTCAGTCAGCAAATTTCTCCTGTCTTCTGCTAAATTGCTCCTTGAGGGGCAGGAGGTGTTTAATAGGGGAGGAGGGGATTAGAAAAGGGGACCCCTGGGTTTGTTGCTGCTGTTGTCATGTTCACTGGTTGTTTGAGCTCAAGACCTTACAGAACTCTTTATCTGGGGAGGAAATAGGGTCAGAACAGCCACTGTGGTGAAGAGCTGGGACCTACAGCTTTAATTTATTAAAAAGGCTGGAATCTAGGTTAGCAGTTATGCACTCTGGTGCTTTCTCTCCCCTGTAGATTTTACTGAGGTTCAGCCTTGAATTTTAGCAGTGGTCCCTGCAGGAGTTTTTTTCAAGCCTAACACATTTTCCAAAATGCCTTTTCCCCCCTGCATTCTCCCTTAACACTTAATAAAAGCTCCTCAGCCACCTTCGTGGGTGAGTCTATTTTCATTAATTCCTTGAAGTTACACAGAGATTTGCAGGTAAAATAGTCCAGGGAGGCTGCCAAAATGTAATTAATTATAATAAACAATTAATTATTGAGACGGTCTCGGAGGAGAAAAGTGCTGGAAATCCCACTCTGAGCAACTCTGTGTGTAATCTCCTTTTGGAAAAAACCCCAGTCAACCACAGCAGTGTGAGGTCAAGCTGATCATGTGCAGCTTTAGGTGATGAAGACATTGCACGGGGTAAAGCTGGAGAGATTCCCCCTGTTCTGATGATAAACAGCCACCAATCCCTGTGGAGATTTAACATGACACCTGCCTGCAGTTACAGCCTGCAATGTGTAGAATCCTCACACATGGCTGAAATCAGCTCCATTTTTTGGGTCTCAGAAGGGATGGGGTGAGGAAGGAGGTGGGAGTGCAACGCACTGAGGGAGAATCTTTTTACACCACAGTTCTTGTGGCCTTGTCTTTTGGGGTGTTCTTTTGGGCCAATCATGCAGAATTTTAGATTTTTCTGTGATGGAATTTTGATTTTTACAACCATTGAATAATTGCAAGTAGCCTCTGGTCTGTCATTAGTGGGACAAGAGTCACTCTGTAATTCAGAGCTGGCTGAGCTTTCCCTGTTTCCCCCTAGAAGAAACAGAAGCACCTGAATGTAGGTAAGAACTTCTGGGACTTTTTATTTACAGCCACACTTCATTTAGGATTATAGGATTCATTGAATAAACTCAAACATTGAACTGTTAATCTTTCTACTGCATGTGTTTTGCATATGCTGATATTCCTTCTGGATGAGACATGGCCAACAGCGCCTGGGAAATGGTTCAGCTCTTTCTAAAGCAGGGATTCCAGAGGTGTCTGTCTTTCCCTGGAAGGAATATTACTACTTATTCCATGGCTTGGAGCAACCTGGGATAGTGGAAGGTGTCCTTGACCATAGCGGGGGGTGGAATAAGATTAATTTTAAGGTCTTTCCCAAACCAAACTGTTCTAGGGTTCTGTGGTAGCTGTTCTGTGCTACAGTCAGTTTTCTCTATAGGATGAAAAAGATTTTGCAAAGTTCTTATTCTCCTAAATGACTGGGTATGATGAGAGGATTCATCCATCCTCCATGTAATTCCAGTTGTCCATTCCAAAGGTCAGTATCTGAGTGAAAATCTCAAATTTCACTTATTCCCTGAACTGATGAAGTCGTTCTTGAGGGTGAATCATGGAATCACAGAATATCCTGAGTTGGACAGGACCCACCAGGATCATAGATCCAACACCTGACCCTGCACAGACACTCCGACCATCCCACCCTGTGCATTCCCGAGAGTGTTGTCCAAACACTCCTGGAGCTCTGGCAGCCCTGGGAATGTCACCATTCCCTGGGGAGCCTGGTCAGTGCCCAAGTGGGAATGAAGCCTAAGAAAACACAAGAATTTTGGCATGGAGGCATCATCTGGGGTGAGGGTGTTGAGCTTAGCATTAGGACATTGGGGTCTGCATGTGGCCTTACTGTGGGGAAAAATACCAGAATCTGAAGATTCCTCTTCTCCACTTAAAGGATGAAACAAATGAAGGAAGAAAAACACTCACCCTCACCTCTCTGGGGTTGTTTTTGTCATTCCTTATAGCTTACAATACAATTTTAGAGTCCCTGACGAAATATTTGAAACTTTGTCCTGGATACTGAATTTTTCTTTTTGCCATCCATGAGAGTTTTTCAGGTCGGGAGAGGCTTTTGCATTCACTTAATCTGATTTAATTATTGCATATCAGAGTCTGGAGACTTAAAACATGGGCTTGGTGATCAGAGAAGGCAAGAAAGCCTTTGCCACCCAGCAGGAGCCAGCTTTTCCCTGTGCTCCAGCTCCTGGCTGGAATACACATGGACAGAGGAGGAGGAGGAGGGGGAGGCACTGGGTCAGGCTGCTGCTCACAGTGATGCAAAATTCTCCATCACCAAACCTGCATGGGGAACAGGGGGAAAAAAACCCCACAACTTTAAAACCTCATTAGCTAATCATCATCACCACAGATGGTGCCCAGATCTAAGCTCCTTTCTGCTCATCCTAATCCCATTCCAAGCAGCTCCCCTTGGCAGAGGAGCCTGCTGGCTTTGTTATCTGCAGCAGTGGCCGAGCATGGAAGCACTTGGCACTGGGGAGAGCTGCAGGAAGGGGAGAGATGTAAAGATTTAGGAAGGGAGGTGGGGGCCCATCTCCCTGTGCAGGCAGGGACTGAGCAGAAGCATCCCACCCTTCACTTGCAGAGGAGCAGCAGCCAGAGGAATTCTCTGCTTGGCTTTTGATCTCCAGTGCTCGAGGAAGGCCTGGCCTGGGATGGATTATTGACCTGAGCAAAGCTATGTACCTGGATTACCTTTGTTGTGGTGAGTAGAATGTGCTTCTCTCTGTGCCTCTACGAGATTTTAAACCAACACTGGGAAAAGGAGTGACAAGGGAGGTGCTGGAGGAGTGATGTTAGTACTACTTGTCTTTTTCAGCAGCTCTGTCATCCTTTTTAATTTGTTTCTTACTAGGAAACTGAGGTGTTGTTGGTTACGTGGGAGACATAGGTGCCTGTGATCAACAGGAATTCTGCTTGCAGGGAAAGGTTCTGATGGGAACAAGCCATAGCTGGTGGCAGTGCTTTGCTCTGTTGAGCAATGCAGATGTTATTCCTGGAAAGCCTCCAAGGGCTGTGTTTGTGTTTTCCTGGGAGGCTTTGCAGGACTCTGGGTCCATCCTTTTTGAGGCATTTCCCAGGCAAACAGGTCTCCTTTCTGACCAGAGCTGGATTCTGGTTTTCCTGATGGAGCTTGCCACAGCCACTTAAAGCCTCTGCTGCTATTTAGGGACAGCAGGAGATTGAGTGGATCAATCCCATAAGAAGATCCATGCTCCTGTGCACAAAGAGGGGACTCCTGACCATTTTAAGGCAGTGCTGCCCAGGCAGGGAGCCAGGTTTTCCCCAGGCCCTGATGGGAGAGATGTCACTGTCACCACAGCCCCAGCTGGAGTCTAAACCAGAATTTTTGCTCTGATTTTCTCTGTAAGAACTGAATAATCACAAGGCCTTTTTTTCCCCTCTTCTCTTTTTCTTTTCTTGGCAGCCCCTCAGTCTCTCTAAGCACAAACTAAAAGGGGGGCCTTGTGTTTTTCTGGCTAATGTGAGTCTCAGGTCATTAACCCTTGACAGTTCTTTAATGAATTACTATTAAAAAATGAATTGATTTCTTGGGCTGAAGAGAGATTCATACTGTTGGTCACATAAGGGTAATTTAGATCATCAAATGTGACTATTTGTATAGAAAAATGGAATTGAATTTCATCCTTTGCTTTCTGATCTTTTCACATTGTGTTGAGAAACTCACGGCAGGACCCCATAAACTGAATTAATACAGAAGGGAATGTGAGAACTGATATAAATTCACCAGGGGGCCACAGGTCAACATCCCACTGAGCTTTGAAGAGAAGAACCTGGCAATTCATGGTTGTTTCTGCTGAAAACCCAGCTGGTTCCACCTGCCTGTTATGGGAGGATGTTTTCTGGTGGCCATGCCCCTCATCTGGAAATTTCTGCACCTCTGTGACTCTTCTACGGTTTGGATCAAGATTTGCTTTTGAAAATCTGAAACTTGAGTAGGTTCTTGGCCTGGCTGCAATCACTATGAACTATTGGTTGTGCTGGTGTTGTTTTCTCTTCATCTTCCACATCTTCTACTACCCCCAAATTGCTCCTTACAGCAACTGAGGGCACAAGATAGCATTTCCATCTCTTGCTGCTTTTATGATTTTGGGTTTTTCCTCCCTGCTTCATTGGACCTCCCTTGGCTCTCCTTTGGAACTTCAATAGGTCTTTTTCTCCTCTCTTTTGATCTATTTCCCTGTAATGCTGGCTGTCTTCTTATTTTGCTTTGAAGAAACACAAACCTTTGGCCAAAAGGTGAGTTTTATTGCTATCAGTCGTTATTGTAACTGTAATTTGTGCCAATTAATTTAGAAGAGGGACAAACTGCACATTTAAGTATAAAATGGCATTTATAAGGCTTAGGTGGTTTAAATATATTTAAAATAATTTTTGAGAAATAAACAAGGCATCTTTTAATCTCTTCCCTTCACAGTGTGATTCTTTTCCCCCTGCCAGAAAACAAAACAATCTCTTTTTTCCCCACTCAGTCTAGTTTTAAATAACCTGTGGGAAGGGGCTTCCGCTCCTTCATTTGAAGATTATTCCAATCTCAATGACCTCACTTGCCCTTTTCTCAGTTTTATCCCATCACATCTATTTTTACCCTCTTGCTCTACATTAAGCTGTTCCCCTGCACGCCTGGGAAGAGGAAGAATTAGAGCCTTAACATTTTTGACCACTTAGAGAATAAAAAAAATACAGGAGAAAATCAAGACCCAGGTGCCTGGCTGCTGCCAGAAATGCCCCAGAAAAGACCTGATTTCATCTCTCTGCGCAGTGCCTCCATTCCTCAGCTTCCCCTCAGCCTAACTTATCTCCTGGCTCCCAGTCGTTCCTCATTGTTCACTTCCAAGGGCTGTGAGCTCTCAACAATGGAGATCCTACTTCTTCCTTGGCTCTTGGCTCCCTCCTGCCTGCCAGCTCTTGAATTTTCCCTTGGGCATTAGCTGGCCAAGCAGTGTATATTTAGTTCTTTCAACATTTTGTTTTCTCCCTCCTTCATCTCACCAACCCCTCAATCACTCTGCTGGTTTTCCCCAAAACCTCCCAAAATTGGCGGCATCCTGCAGGCTTGTGGTTGTCCAGCACTGCCCTCAGTCTTCCTCCTCCTGCAGAGCATAGAAATTGAGTTTGTTGCCTGGCTTTTTCAGTGTTTCCACTGATGTTGCTGCCCTGGATGGTGTGAGAAGGATCCTGCGTGTGCTCAGAGGGAAAAGTGGGCTATGGGGAAGGGAGAGAAAATCCTCCCATGGCTGTTTCCAAGCAGATCACCTGGAGACAGAGGAATTGTGTCAGATATTGCATTTGTGTCACTCTTTGCTTTTATGCAGAAATGTAAATCAAAATATCAGGGCGAAGGGGACAAAGGTCGTGTTCCTATTGCTGTCCCAATGGCCAAGCAAGTGGTACTGAGCACATTACTTGATCCACCAGAACCTCAGGTTTCCCTTCAAGCTGTCTGTGTCTTCTGTGCCATGCTCTGAGAAAATGTGGATACCTAATCCTGGAAGTGTTCAAGGCCTGGTTTAACAGGGCTTGGATCAGCCTGGGATAGTGGAAGGTGTCCCTGCCCATGGCAGGGGGTGGGATGGGATAAGCTTTAAGGTCCCTTCCCACCCAACCCATTCCAGGATTTTATTACTATCTCTTAAGTTTCTGTCTCCACAGCTCTGAAATGGGGAGGCCCACAGCCCTTCAGGCTCCCCAGGCTTTCTGTGGTATGTGCTGGATTTCAGCTGGGTCTCAGCATCCACCATGTGCTTGGAAGGATCCATGCATGGATACAGGGAGAATGGTGAACTTAGAGAAGAGAAAGCTCCAGGAAGGACTTAGAGCCCCTTCCAGTACCTAAAGGGGCTCCAGGAGAGCTGGAGAGGGACTTGGGACAAGAGCCTGGAGGGACAGCTGAAAAAAATAGATTTAGAGTAGATGTTGGGAAGAAACTTTTGGCTGTGATGATCAAGAACTGGCTCAGGTTTCTCAGAGAAGCTGCCCCTGGATCCTTGGAAGTGTCCAAGGCCAGGTTGGACAGGGCTTGCAGTAACCTGGGATAGTTGAAGGTGTCCCTGCCCATGGCAGGGGTGGAACTGGATGATCTTTAAGGTCTCTTCCAGCACAAACCATTCTGATTCCACAGGCTGAACAGGAGGTTCAGAGGGCACCTCGTCACTCCCTCCAACTCCCTGACAGGTGGTTGCAATGAGGTGGGGTCACGTTCTCCTACCAGGACTGCACTGAGAGGACAAGAGGAAATGGCCTAAAGCTGAGACAGGGGAGATTCAGATTAGATATCAGAAAAAAAATTAAAATATTTTCACTGTTTGGCTGGTCAGGCATTGAAAGGGGCTGACCAGGGAGGTATAGGCCTAAAGCTGAGACAGGGGAGATTCAGATTAGATATCAGAGAAAACAATATTTTCACTGTTTGGCTGGTCAGATGTTGAAAGGGGCTGTCCAGAGTCACCATCACTGGAGGTGTTTAAGAGGCATCTGAACCTGGCACTGATGTGGTTTGGTGGTTTAGGTGTTACAGTGGCAGTACTGGGATGATAGTTGGACTGGATGACCTCAAAAATCATGTCCAACCTGTCCTTGGACACTTCCAGGATCCAGGGGCAGCCACAGCTTCTCTGAGAAACCTGAGCCAGTTCTTGATCAGCACAGCCAAAAGTTTCTTCCTAACATCTAATCTAAATCTACTTTCCTTCAGCTGTCTCTCCAGGCCCTTGTCCTAAGTCCTTCCCCAGCTCTCCTGGTGCCCCTTTAGGCACAGGAAGGGGCTCTAAGATCTCCCTGGAGCTTTCTCTTCTCCAAGTTCTCCATTCTCCCTGTATCCATGGATCCTTCCAAGCCAGACCTGGATGTTAGCCAGCAGAGGGAGGCTGGCTCACGCTGTGGCACCTGGGGAGCAGAGGTGACTCCGTGTGTGCTCAGGCCTGATCACAGCAAGTCTGCTCCTGCCAGCAGGCCTGGGCCTGTGCTGCTGGCTGTGTCCATGTCCAAGTGTGTGCACTCCCCATCCAGCCTTGGAGCACTGCTGGAACCCAACCGACCAATAAATCTGTGCAAATTGTGCCTGCTTGCTCAACAGACACGGTGCTCATCCCAGAGCCACGTTGTGCCAGTTCTTCTCTTTAAACAAACATGGGGTTTTTTTGATTTTTTTTTTTTAATTTTTTTTACCCAGGTGCAGCTAGTAAAGCTGTCAGAATTAGAAAAGGACTCTGCTGCCTGATGGAGTCGTTTGTACAGATTCCAGTTAACTTCCAGTTTCTGTGCTGGGTTGAACTGGGTTGTTGAATTTGCAGGTCACTCTGACATGGGAAGAGATGAGAATGTTGACTTCATGTTTCAGAAGGCTGATTTATTATTTTACGATATATATTATATTAAAAGAAAATTATATACTAAAAGTATATATTAAAAGGAAATTATATACTAAAACTATATTAAAGAATAGAAGAAAGGATTTCATTAGAAAGCTAGAAAGGAATAGACTGGAATGATAATAAAATCTTGTGACTGACTAGAGAGTCTGAGACAGCTGGACTGTGATTGGTTATTAATTAAAAACAACTACATGGGACTAATCAAAGATGCACTTGTTGCATTCCACAGCAGCAGATAATTGTTGTTTACATTTTGTTCCTGAGGTCTCTCAGCCTCTCAGGAGAAAAGATCTTAGCAAAAGGATTTTTC